ACGTCCTGGCGGAAACAACAAAAGGCCCCACGGCGTCGAGGCAAAAGCTTTGGGCGACTTTGGCCAAGACCGCGGGCTGGCTGGACCCATTCCACCTCGACCCATCCATGATTTTCACGATCATGGGGGCACTCAAGAGGGGAGGGTATCGTTCGGCTCAGTTGTACCTAGACACCGCCAAGAACTGTCACATTGCTCTCGGATTCACATGGGATGACCAGCTCCAACAAGCATACCGCTCGGCAGTGCGCAGTTGCAAACGAGGTATTGGGCACCCGAAACAGGCCGCCCATCTACCTTTGGACAAAGTGGCACTGATCGACCACGAACCGGCCCTTGTCAATGGTGGACCTCAGTTTCCTGTCTGCCACGGTGCTAGCTTCCTGGTGGTTGTTGCGAGAGATTGAAGCATCTCGAGCACGTCGCAAACATATTGAGATCGACGAGACCAACCAGAAAGTGACTTGGAGGCTGCCAGCTCGAAAACTGACCAGGCAGCCTTAGGAGCGGCACGGTCTCACACCTGTGCCTGGTCTCTGCACCGCAAAGAGCTCTGCCCCTACCACGTCGCTGTGGAACATTTGAACAGGCTTCCGATCAATACATATTCCCGGCAGCAGATGGCCACAGTTCGACTAAGAAGGGTTGGGCAGACACCTTGGAAGCCTTAGCCAAGATACTGGAAATCCCGATCACGCGCCAGAATGGTGCTGGAGCATTCACAGGCCACGCGGCTCGTGTCTCAGGGGCCAGATTCATGGCTACAAACAACATCGAACTCTGGAGAATCCAGTTATTCGGAAGATGGGGCTCAGAAGTCTTTCTGCATTATATCCAAGACGCTCCGCTTGCACAGCTCGACATGCTGGCATTGGAGTCCACAGCTGCCATGTCGGTACACAAAGCTCGGGAAGAGCTTGAACTCCTGCAACGACGCATTAAGGACTGCAAAGCGTCCTTTATGGCCCCGGAGCTGGATATGCCAGAAGACTGTGCAGCTTCCGTACACCTCGCACATCAGGAAGAGAATCTTCCAGGTGTCACAATTTTTAACACGTCTCGAGGTGGCAGATACCATTGCACCTTGATCTACAAGTTAGATATACACCCAAAACGGTGGCGTACACGGTGCGGATGGCCCTTCAGCAAGAACCAAGCCGAGTACCGGTTTGCGAAAGCTTGAACGATGCACCCATCCACCTTCGCTGCATCAAGTGTTTTCCCCGCTCGCGCACCGCTGACCCTGAGCCCTGCACTTCAGGCAGCGAAATTTCGGTTTCGTCCAACGAACCCTGCGCGTCTGACGCAAGTCGGACATAATTGCATGGCTGTTGGTCTAACGAGTCAAAAGGGCACCAAATCCTGGCATCACTGGATGCCAACCGTGAATTCGGTTGGTAACAGAGATGCGACTCGACGACCAACTGAGAAAAAGTGCCCACTTTGGTGTATGGTGGGCGGACGGGGAGATCACGTGTGGGCATTGTCGATGGAACACATGTAATGTGGGGTTGACAATGTCTGAGTGTGGTCGAGGTTCCCCTTTTATGCGTGCCATTTTGGCTCTAGTGAGTCGCCCGCCCAACCCGGCCCAGGGATTGACTCACTAGAGGGCACCAAATCCTGGCATCACTGGATGCCAACCGTGAATTCGGTTGGTAACAGAGATGCGACTCGACGACCAACTGAGAAAAAGTGCCCACTTTGGTGTATGGTGGGCGGATGGGGAGATCACGTGTGGGCATTGTCTCTTGCATTCAACACATATTTTTTAACAAATTTCCCTTGGGTGGTCTAGGTCTAGCCATGTTCAGAACTACGCTCAGACAACTCCTTTCTTTGGTCAATGCTCCGTGGAGCGACGCTCTACTCGCATCAAGGCGTCTCCGATGCATTTCTGGCGCGTGCCATTGCGACCAAGCGAGCAGCTGAGAGGAGAGACCTCCGCGCTTGAAGCTGAGGCGGATGTGGGGAGGATGCGGTTTCAGGGCAGGAATGCGGATACCAAAGCACTTAAAACAAACAGTGCATATCCAGACCGGTACGCAGCTGATCTTTGCCGTGATTTTCCAGTTTTTCCCGTCTTGGGCTATGTTTTCCCGGGGGGTCTGCTAGTTGTGTTTAGGCCTGGCAGGCATTGGGCGCACACTTCATCCATCTCACTGCTAGCGCATATCCTCCGCATTGAAGCGGCTCCGGATGCTCACCGGGGTAGTCCAAGTTTTCCTCCTTCCGCGTAAACACCAACGCTGCCTGCTGCGCCCTCATGCTTGCTGGTGTTTGATTCATGTTGCTTGTGAGTGGTGGACTGGGATTCAGAGCGCTTCAGCTCTCATCCCTGTTTGTGGATGGAGTGGATCTTTGGGCCTTTCACTAGAGAATCACCCAATCCAGGAGCCCCCTCTCCCTTCTCCAAGCTGTTTGCTGGAAGTTCCGAAGGGTTTGGGACGAGGAGGACGTTCGGTTCGCCCGGTCCGGGCGATGTTTGGGGCCTTTTGGTGTCGCGCAGGTCGCTGAGCTGGAGAGGCGCTTGGGATATCGCTGACTTCGCCAATGCCCTGCGAAGGTGGACAAAAAGGGGCTCCATCCCCGACTGGGAGGAAGGGGTTCAGACTTGGAGTTCAGAAATGACCGCCAAATCCTGGTACTTGCTTGTATGTTCTCCGACTTTTTTCATTGTTCCCGAAAGCATTGCGAAGGGTTCTTCCGGAAAATCCTTTGAACACTGACACTTCGACACTTACACTTCGACACTCACACTGACACACTTACACTTCGACACTCACACTGACACACACACACACACTGGAAGAGCGAAAGCATCCAAGTGCGAAGTATGCCAGGGCGAAAGCATCCAAGTGCGAAGTATGCCAGGGTCAAAGTATGCAAGTGTGAGTATGCAAGCATGCAATGACTATGCAAGGGCAAGTGTATGGAAAATATGGAAAAACTAGCACGGGAGATGTCCTAATGAAAAAACATTTCCCCACTTTATAAATTCTCTCTTAAAGGCGGAGTGTGGGACGAACAGCGTCAACCGAAAGTGCAACCCTCTGCGGAGATCGTGCGTGTGGAGTGCGCGAAATGCAGGCGAGAGTGCGATTTGTCCGGTCCGCGCGCAACCCTCTGCGGAGATCGTGCGTGTCGAGTGCGCGAAATGCAGGCGAGAGTGCGATTTGCCGGCTGTGCGCGCAACCCTCTGCGGAGATCGTGCGTGTCGAGTGCGCGAAATGCAGGCGAGAGTGCGATTTGCCGGCTGTGCGCGCAACCCTCTGCGGAGATCGTGCGTGTCGAGTGCGCGAAATGCATATCATAGTTGAAGTGGGTAAGCCAGCACGCTGGCTGCCATCATAGTTGAAGTGGGTAAGCCAGCACGCTGGCTGCCATTGTTGAGATGGCAAAGCCAGCACGCTGGCTACCATCATAGTTGAAGTGGGTAAGCCAGCACGCTGGCTGCCATTGTCCAGATGGCAAAGCCAGCACGCTGGCTGCCATCATAGTTGCAGTGGGTATGAGCCAGCACGCTGGCTGCCATCATAGTTGAAGTGGGTATGAGCCAGCACGCTGGCTACCATCATAGTTGAAGTGGGTAAGCCAGCACGCTGGCTGCCATTGTCCCCTTACCAGCAGCCCAAATGCTCACGACGATGAGCTGGGCTGTCACCGCTTGGCCGCCGGTGGGGGGTTTGGGAGGCCTTGGCATTGTGGACGACCACTTCTTCAGCG